GCTTTGCTGACAACAGCAGCCTTGGTTCATAAAGTGTGCAAATGAGGTTCAGAGTATAAGGAGCTAGTGTATTACACTGACAAGAGTATTTTGGCTGTAGAAACAGCTGGCCTGGGTCTCAGTCCAAAAGGTGATTCAGCGTGAGCTATCTCATCTACTTAAGCCTCAGTTTCTCCATGTGTAACGTGGAGGTAGGCTATCAGTTGCTATCTTACAGGATTTTATAAAAATTGCATGAGATACTGCATATAAAGACAATGTTACTTGTTGCTGTTGGTTCCACAAAGCCTCATAACTGAGTTCGGATGGTAGGGTGAGAAATGGTCCATTTGAGTAGAATAATGGCATTGTAGTTGTCATCTTCCTTTTTTACTGGTATCTCTCACAGTCAGAGAGGCAGATTTTTAAAAGATCATTTTAGAGATGCACCTTTATAGAGGAAAGGAAGACTTCCCAAATTCTGTAATAACCACACACATTAGATTTTATGTGGCAAAGGTAAAACTCAAACCAGATTTACGGACCTCAAGTGTAATGTTCTTTCGACTACCTCTATTGAGAAAACATGTTTAAGTTTCTGCATGATTCACTGCTTACTGTTTAAAAAGGTGGGCTTAGAACCCTGCAATCACTGAGCTGGGAACGCATCACAAGAATTAGAATTTCTCCAGCAAGATCTGTTTCCTAACCACTTGGCAATGTTGAGCTTATATTTGTAGGAACCGAAAGTCCACAACCAGCCTGTTCCACTATGTATTTATCCCCAAAATGAAATTTTCCTTTTTCCTCTTTGTTGTTGACAGTTAGCCAACCCAATAGGTGATTTGCAACGCATCCAAATATTTTCCCAGCTGGCTATGGCATCTGAAACTTCACCATTAAGGGTATAATGTTTATCTTTAAAGTATGGCTTTAAGAAAATCCTTGTTCTAGTGAACTTGGAAGGGACCAGGACTATTAACATATTCATACCTATAGTTAACTACTACTTATTCTCGTCAGATTGACTAGCTGTCTGCTCTAATGCCCCTGCCCCCTTGGAGAGTACAGGCAGATTCCAGAGGACAGCTGTATTTCAATGCAAAGGGTAAAATAATTCTGAAACATGGGGAAGAGGAAAGGGATAAATAGATGTAAACTTCAGGAAGTGTAGGTAGTAAGGGGTGCAGGCAGATGAGAAAGCAGTCAAAAGGAACTGAGAGCATAGCATGCTTGAAGTTAGTCAGCCAACTTATAATTATTGAGTCCTTGGACTATTCTTAAAAATGTCTTAGAAATCTTTCTGGCTTTAAATTAAGTATTTCCCCTGTTTTTAAAAAAAATTTTTTTTTTCTTTATTGATTTTAGAGAGAGAGAAAGGGAGAGGGAGAGAGAGAGCGAAACATTGATGAGAGAGAACATCGATTGGCTGCCTCCTGCATGTCCCCCACTGGGGATCGGGCCCACATCCTGGGCATGTGTACTGACCGGGAATCAAACCAGCGACCTCTTGGTGCATGGGTGGACACTCAACCACTGAGCCACACCAGCCGGACTCCCCTGCTTTTAATACGCAGCAATGATGGAAAACAACGTAAAGGGCATGTTAAGCCTTGCTGACCTTTTTTCTTTCCTCCTTCCCTCCTTCCTTCCTTCCTTCCTTCCTTCCTTCCTTCCTTCCTTCCTTCCTTCCTTCCTTCCTTTCAATTTTATTTATGTGTGAAATTCCTTTATTTTCTGCATATTAGTCCTTTACCAACACTACAGCCATTAAGAACACAATTCCAAGCACTGCAATCAGTTTACAGACGTGTCTACTTTTATTAGACAAGATTAACCTCATTCAAAACATACTGCAGTTTAAAAATTCACATAAATACATAAACTGATACAATTAAACAAAAACTTCAGGATCTTATTTTCTAAGTTCTTAGATTATAACTTTCTCTGAGGGCCCTAATTACCTGCCCCATGACCAGGAATAGTTACGGTTCAATTTAACTACATCAACTATCAGCCTTGAATATTCTTACAAAAAAGTAAGCGAAAATTACAAGTTCTTACCAGAGGTTTAGGATTTTCCAAATTTCAAATATCTGCTCCCTCTCCCTCCAACCCCTTCAGTTATTCGACATTTCAAATAAACTAAAAATAACCACATCTTACCTGCAATATTCAGCAGCAATCACTTGATGTACAAAATTTTAACTATTTCCCCAGTTATTTTAAGACACACAAAAATGGCTGCCTATCTACTGAATTCTCATACATTAAAAATACTACATTTAAGAATTAACACGAGGGTTTCAAGTGTCCTCCAGTTTAGGCATTTATACTTTTGTTAAGCCATGTTAATATTTCTTTTTTTTTAATTCTCACCCAAGGATATGTTTATTGACTTTTTTTTTTTTTTTTTAAGAGAGAGGAAGGGGAAGGGAGAGAGAGAGAGTAACATCAGTGTTAGAAAGAAACATCGATTGGTTGTCTCCAGTATGCACTGAATGGGGGTTGAACCAAAGCCTAGGTATGTGCCCTGAATGGGAATCAAACCCATAACCTTTTGGTGTATGGTGTACTGGATAACCCTCGAACCAACTGAGCCACAGCCCACATCTGGGGCAAGCCATGTTAGTATTTCTTAATCACCAAACATACCTAACTCATTGCATTTTGAGTCCTTCTAATTTCATTTTGTATGTTGTTGGTACTTGATAAATATTTGTGGAATGAGTGAATACTTCTGTGATTCTATTTTGTTTCATTTTTTACTTTGGAAGTGACTTGATATTGGATGTATCAAGATTATGGTACTTGACGCAGCCTTCAAAAACCAGGGCACAGCCTTCAGCAGTATTGTTCATAAAGAACATAATGAAAATGTTCTTTGATCGGCCCTGAACAGCATGGTAGTCACCAGCCACAAGTATGTATTGAATCCTTTACAAGTAGCTGGTCAGACTAAATAACTGAATTTTAATTTAATAGCCACTTGTGGCTAGCGGCTACCTGGGGTATTGGACCTGGTAGTTCTATAGGTTTTATTAAAAGTTTTCTGCCCCTCTCACTTTGTTTTTAAAAGTAGCTATTTTGATTAATTCCATCAATTATTATATTTAAGTTCCTCTCATGTATGTTTTTATATATAGAACTAATTATATTTATCTATGATAACTCTAAAGATTAGTACAGCAAACCCAACGGACTTTCACAGCAGTGTCTGGGGGGAATTTATGTGTGTCATTTATAGAACTTGTAATACATGGTCGGTTTTTAATTTCAACTGCTGACATGAAACGAGCCTGTGTGGTTGAAACAGTGAAGCATGAGGAGTCAGTCTTCTACACTGACAGGCTGGCCTTTCAAGCCAGTGGTTCTTTTGGTGGCCTCCTCCCTCTTCAAGAACCTGGCATCTTTCCAGGCAGCCTCTGGCTGTGTGTGTGTGTGTGTGTGTGTGTGTGTGTGTGTGGTGCTCTAAGGTCCTTTCCCAAAGCTCTCCATTCTCCTAGCTTCTCCATGCTCTCCCCTAGTTCCAAATAAAAAACTACCTTGAATTATTTGTAATAACCTCCCTTTAACTCTTCCTTAACTTATAGATGACAAAACAGAGACATTGCAAAGCACGAAGGTGGAAAAAACAACAACAACTAATATTGACTACTATGTGCTTGCTAGACACTTGATATGATTGATGCTCAATAGTGGTGCTGCCTGCGTGAATGAAATGTTATCTCCCTGGCAAATAAATGACACTCAATACATATTTTTTGAATGGATAAATACACGAATACATTTTTACTTTGTGGAACTGATATTATTCCCTTATCACAGATGTGGAAATTGGTATTTAGAGAAGTTATATGGCTTTCTCAAGGCTCAGCCCATACGATACTCCTACATTTAATCTTTTATTCTCTTACCTGTTTATTTTCTTGTCTTGTTTTCTGTGTCCTCCGTGTTTTGCTCTTTACCTTTCAAAGACAAGTATCAGCTAAAATGACCACTAGATTTACATCGATGGCTGCAAAGGCGGTGATAGAAGCCGATCGCCACAGCCCCCCACACTCCAGTCCCTTTCCAGGGATGTTCCAATGTTAAGGCTAACTTTCTGGGAATAGTGTCAATCAACGCACAGAGATGGCCCCCTGGGAATTACACGCTGTACAGGAGATATTTTATTTTGATACTTTAGTTATATTAAAAAAAAACAAAAACCCACAGCCTATATTTTCCTGGGGTTTGGACGCTTGCATAAAAACGACGCATTCATTTGTAAATTAAACATCAACAGTGTTTGCACGTATCTTAGTCTATACTACAAGGAATAGACAACTGATTTGTGTATTGGCCCCTATCACGATGGAAGACTTGTAAGAAACATCATAAATTGGCTCCTCCTCCATCTCTTTCCCCACCCCTCGGAACCTTCTCTGCTTCAGAGTATGGTCTAAAAACGTAGGCGGTATGGAAAAGGAAAATTAAAAAATGGCTCCGTGATTTTCAACACAAAGATCACAAAAGAGCGCCAGAGCACAAGAAGTATTTAAAATAGATCACCTCCAGAAGTTGGAGGGCTACAAAGTACAAGTCGTCCAAGCCAGTCTGCAGAGGCTGTTCGTGCTTCCTCCCTGCAAAATCCCGGCAGGCGACACGAAGCGACGAATTCCAGCTGCAGAAGAGGAAGAGCATCACCTGCAGTTCCAGGCGTGGGAATCGCTGCCGGAGGGGGCTTGTAGGGAGCCCGAGAGGGGCGCGCAGCGGGGCCCAGGGCCGCTCGGAGCTGCGTGCGGGGAACGCCAGCGGTCTGCGGAGCCCGGAGGCGCGACAGGGTAGAGCGGGGCACTGGAGGGACCGCAGCTGCAGCAGGTGAGCCCCTGCAGCCTCCCAGCTCGCCGCCGCTACTGTCCCGGAGGCGGTCTCCGCCTGAGAATCCCTTCCACGCCTCGGGGCTGGGGCAAGGCGGGGCGCTGACGTCACCTCCCCTCCCCCCGTTCCTCCAGGAGGGAGGGAGAGGGGGAAGAGGCAGTGATCCGCCGCAGCTCCCGGCCGCAACTCTCAAACTCCGCGGCTCCCTGCCTGGGCAAGTCCTGACAAACTTGGCTTCTCTTCGGCCCTCTCTCTAGCCCTCGCGCATTCTCATCTCGCCTCGTTTTGGTACTCAAGTTTCACCCAGGACGGAAGCCTTAGGAGATGTGGCCACCTGGATCCGGGCAGCGCGGGTGGATCGCACTCTCGTGGGGGACATGCTGAAGATCGGAGGGAGGCAAAGTTGGTACTTCAGACACCGTTTCTAACAAATATCCAAATCGCGTGGGGATTACCGAGCTGCGGAGGACTTGAAAGCGGAGCACCGAGGACTCGGCTGGACTGGTGAGTTCTTTGTTTAATGCAAGCCTTATGTATTTAAGTTTCAACGTAAATTAAATTACGTGGGGTATTTGGCTCTAAGCTAGTGCAGGGAAGCGTGTGCATCCTACTGGCTCTCCTCTCGGCGAGCAGCACGACCCTCTGGCTGTGCATGGCTCGCGAATGAAAGATCAGTATGCATAGGTTTGGGAATTCATAAAATACATACATAGCACTGTTCAAAAGAAGTTGAAAAGATGTGCTGTTTGTGCATTATTTTGAATGTAACTTATTATAGAAATGGTGCCCTGGGAGGGCGCATCCGGGGCCGCGTGATTCGCAGTGGCGCAGCGCCCTCTAGGCCGGACACCAGGCAAGGCGCGCGCTCCTTGCCGGGTTCCTTGCGGACCGCGAACTTGGACCTGATCCTGGGACGTGGGCGTGAGCTCTGTCGCCGCCACCCCAGACTTCACTTACCACCCACTTGGGTCCATTCTAGTTGTAATATACAAAATCTAGCTCGAGTGGACTGCATTCAGAGGCGGTGCTGGAAGAAAGCGTTTTTGTTTTTCGGGAATCATCCCCCAACCCCCTTATTTAAAAGAGCCTTTGGGGACAGGATTTAGGGAGGGAGGGTCGACTATGGAAAGGACAACGTGGAGCTTGAACTACATTTCTCTTGCGTGTGAAGGTAATTCGATGGTTGCGAAAAGGCGGCTCTGTTTCGTTCCGTTGGGGCTAAAGGATCAGTAAAAACGTGGCAGCGCTGTAAACTGAAATCTCCATCTCTGGCTCTGGGCTGTCTCTGTGGCGACCTAGAGCAACTTCTTCCAGGCAATTAGATTTCTCAGTGAAATTGGAACACGGGGATTCCCAAACAGATGTTTTAGTTGCAGTAAGCGTTATTATTTACTAATGAATGGTAATTTTCTCCAGGAATTCTTTTGTGCCATTTAAAAAATCTTGTTATTTTATGTTACAGAACAGTGTCTTCTTACTTTTGCACCCCCATAACCCCCCAGCTGTTGGTGTGTCGTGTGTGGTTGCATTAAGAATTAGAATTCAGCAAAGGGCGCAAACCGGTTGAGCTTGGAGATCAGGTCACCTACTTTCGAGGTGTTCCATGTATGAAATTGAGCTATAACTCCAGGAGCACTTTGCGCATTGTGGCCGTGCCCAAGTGTTTGTATTGCTAGTGTTTATTGGGTGTGTGAATGTGTGTGTATTCTAAATAATGCGCAGGGAATAAATACACCACCTACTTACTCTTCTTGGTGCTACGTACGACTCAGCACACTCACTCTGCAGGCATTTTCCTTCCCAACCATAACCTGCTAGACACCTTTATTTTTTTTCAATCACCTTCTTTAAGATGGTTTAAAAGGAGACTGCATTAACGTTGAACGAAGGAAATTCTCTTTTTAACCTAGACTCCCTCGCCCCCAACCGCCTCGCAGTTCGCCCTGCAGCCCCCTCCACCGGTACCGGGGAAATAGATCTCTTTGTCCTTGCTGACTTAAAATGTTCGAGCACCAGAAACTTTCCCAGGTCATGTCTACCTTCTCCTCTGGGCTATTTTCCAACGCCCGGGAGCATTCCAGGCTTCGGCGGCGGCTCAGCTGCGCGGAGCTCGCGCGTCTGCAGCTTTGCTGGCGCTGAGAATGGGCTCGGCCGGGAACTCCAGAGTGCGCGCCCCGCGTGGGGAGTTCCCGGAGGGGGAGTCTGGACGCCCTGGACTTCCCTCTCTCCCTAGGGAATTTGGAGTTTCAAGTTAGAATGGGTGCAGTTTTCGGGGTGTGACTTACCGGCTGGGAAAGCGCACGAGGCGGCACAGCTGCCTTTTGTCCCGCGAACCTGAGAGTCGGGGGTGTCCGTCCCGCGAGGCGGGGCTGGGGTTCCTCACCAGGGTCGGGGAGGTTCTGGGGTATGATTATTCCGCAGAGAGGTCGCGGAGGAAGCGCTTTCATTTTCCTGGATCTTGATGTGGATTGTAGGAGGAAGTCACTTGGATCTAACTGCATTCCTTTCTGTCCTTTCGGAGGATTTTATACCTCCCTCCCTCCTAAGCGGTCACAGACCCGTAACCGAGCCATTCAAATGCAGATTTAGGAATTCCCTGAGGGTTCTTGAGACTCAAAAGGGAGGTGTGGAAAGCCTTTTCATTTGCCTTACCTGATTTTTTTTTTTTTTTTTTAACTTCTCCTTTCCTAGCAAGAAAGTCTGTATTAATTTTCGACACAAATCTGTGCTGGCCATAACTAACGTCGGCACGAGAGCGAGCCTCACGCCGTTCCTTGGAGTGCCGCAAGATCACCCTGGGCATTCGCCGTGGCCGCGCGGGAGCGCTGACCCGTAGCGGGGCGTCATTGCCCCGGACCCGCAGACTCCGAGTCCCGCCGCCAGGGCAAGTCGGCTCGAGTTTCTGAGCCGGAGAAACGAGCGCCGGCGCTCGCGGGCGTGGCCGCGGGCGGAGGGATCTACTCCGCGCCGGCCGGCCTGGGAGCGGGGAGCGCGAGCGGCGGGCGGAGGTCCCGGGACACCTGGCCCGCGACACCATGCGGACCTGCGGGCCCAGAGGGACCCCCGGCCGACCAGGTCCCTGCTCGAGGGCGCGCTGAGGCGACGAGGTGCGCGGCCCCCGAAGGCTCCGCCGCCGCCTAAGGCCAACTTTGCTGTAAGTTTGCTAGGAATGAAGTTGGAGCCGGAGGGCGGAGGGGCGCCGCGCCGCGAGTGCGGGGAGGCTTGCAGCTTGCAGCTTGCTGCGTGGGAGTGGCAGGCTTGGGCCCCGTGGGTGCTCCCCCAGGCTGCCCAGCTGTGGACCGTGCCCTTGCCCGAGCTCGAAAAGGGGATGAAAGAAGGAGCCCGGCTGGAAGGTGGCATTGCCGCGGCGCCTGCCCACTGGAAAGTTCAGCGCTGGCCCTGGATCCGGCGCCGGGCGAGGGGGAGGCGGGGCGGAGGGGCGGAGAGGGGACGGTCCGCGCCGTGCACGGAATGGGAATGAGGGCGCCGGGCGCTGCCGCCAGCCGGCCAGCCGCGCGGGGCTGGAGCTGGAGCCATTGCTGGAAATCAAAGCGGCGCCGCGGCGCGCGGCTACCGGGCGGCCCGGGGGCCAGGACTTCCGCTGCGCCCTGCAGCTGGGGAACTTCCCCGGCGCGCTCCACTCTCCTCTCCCCGGTACTCGTGCCTGCGAAGGCCCGAACTCACCTCTCTGCTAGGTGAATCCTTCCAGTTTGTGAAACAGCATTCATAGTGGAGGGGAGGTGGAGAGGGGTCAGCACTCCAGAGAGGGCGTCTTTGAAATGGAGGCGCAGAGTTCTCCCAGATGTTCTGCACCCTGAGGAGTGCTGCTCTGAGGTTTCAGTACGGACTGGGTGCATGTGCATAGGAGCGATTGATAAATTGATAGGTGCGATTGATAAATTGTGGGCTAGCCTTTGCACAGGGTGTTTTTTTTAAAAATCAGTTTGTTTCTATCTTTTCAGCAAGAGAGACTTGTGGGATCTGTTTTTAAAGAAAGATTTCTGATTCTTTAGTGCTCTTTCTTCCTTAAAATGCCTTCTTGTAGGAAGCTAACTTTCTGTTGTCTCTAAAATTTTTTTGTTCCCACTGATGTGAACTGCAGGGCTTTGAAAACAAGGACCCGATTGTATGCATTAGGAAAGTAAACTCATAAATATTTTCTATGCAGTTAAAGTTTTTTTTTTTTTTTCCATGCTTCTGAACTATGGTTTCATTAAGTGGCATTTGTTAAGCAACTCTCTGGTGCCTGGTAGAGTAGATTTTTGTTGTTGTTGTTGTTTTAACAATATTTATAGTGACTGTTACAATCAGGAAGAGATTTAAAAGGCAAGTTATCTTGTTGTTTGTTTATCTTTATAAATACAGATCCTTAAGTCTTCATATATTCAGAGGTGGGTTTCAATAGCTTTAAGAAGATACCTGCACATGTTAAAATGAGATATGGTGGTGGTTTTCCATATTACTCTTAGAGTTGTGCTTGTGATTCAGCACATCTAGTTAGTACAGTTACTCATGAAATTTGTTTCTCCGATGGTAAAGGTTAATTCTCATATTTGTCTTTGTGTTTCAGAAGAACAGCTCTGGCTCCACAATTATTATCTTCTTTCCTTGGTGTATATATATAAGCTTTCAGATGCATGTAAAAATACTTGAAACATTACTTAATTTTAAAAACAGTTGATGTCACTCCAAGTTATGCCAAACATGGCACTTAACAAGTTCAGTGTAAGGTTTGATTTGAATCAAGTGTGCATTTGTGTACCCATTTCTTGCAAAAATGAACATGTCAAATGAGCCAAATTCTTTGTCCCTCTGAAAGGAAGTGAGATTGTTAGAGGACTTCATAAAATCATTCAGACCAACTATATATTCATTTTTATCTTTAATTGATTACTAGAAGTATCCCAGTAGGTTCTTATAATGTAAATAGATCATTTAAATCTATATTATGGGCAGGTGCCAAAAAAGGAATCTTAAAACTTATGTGCAAACTAACAGTTTCCATTCCTTTGATCCCCTGCCTTAGTCTTAGCTCTTTTTTTTTTTTTTTTTTTATTATCTTCACCGGAGGACATTTTTTCATTTTTGTTCAGGTAGAGTGGGAGGGAGAGAGAGGAAGAGAGAAAAACATCGACGTGAGAAAGGAACACATCGAGTGGCCGCCTCCTGCATGACCCCAACCAGGGCCAGGGACAAACTGCAACCTAGGTATGTGCCCTTATCGGGAACTGAACCCTAGTCTTTCTGGACCACAGGCTGAAGCTCTAACCGCTGAACCAAACCGGCCAGGGGTTTAGCCTTAGCTCTTGAGCCACCTTTGAACAGGCATTTCTTTGAATGTTACAGGTGAAAGGGATCATATAGATATGTTTTCACAACCTGTTTTCCACTCAAGTTTGGCAGATTGTACATAGAGTCAATAAGCTGAATCAAATTAGTTCATTATTGTTGCATTAAATGTTGTCTCTGTGGCCTAATTTGTGGTCTAAAGGACCTGATTTAAT